GGATGACAAGATTCAAAAAGCTCCTTAGATGCTAGAATGACAGGCCAAAACAAACAAATAAAATTCAGTAAGTATAAATGTGAAGACCTACATCTTTATTTCTTTTCTAGTTACATGTTAAAACAATTTTTACATTTTTTTTAAACTTTGAGTTCCAAATTCTCTCTCCCTTTCCTCTCCCCATCTCATTGAGAAGGCAAGCAATCTGATATAGGTTATACAGATGCAGTCATGAAAAACATTTCCATGTTAGTTATGTTGTGAAAGAAAACAGACCAAAACAAAACAAACCCCAAGAATAATAAAGAAAGTAAAAAAAAAGTATGCTTCAATCTGCATTCAGATTCCATTAGTTCTTTCTCTGGAGGTAGATACCATTTTTCATCCGAAGTCCTTCGGAATTGTCTTATATCATTGTATTGCTGAGAATAGCTAAGTCATTCATAGTTTATCATTGTACAGTAGTATTGTTATTGTGTACAACGCTCTCCTGGTTCTGTTCACTTTACTTTCCATCGGTTCATGTAAATCTTTCCAGGTTTTTCTGAAAGCATCCTGCTAGCAATTTCTTATAGCACAATAGTATTCCATCACAATCATATACCACAACTTGTTCAGCCATTCCCCAATTGATGGGCATCCCCTCAACTTCCAGTTCTTTGCTACCACAAAAACAGCTACTATAAATATTTTTGTACATATTGCATATATTTTGTACATATTATGTACATTCCTCTTTCCTTTTTAAAAATCTCTCTGGGATATGGACCTCGTAGTGGTATTGCTGGGTCAAAGGACACACACATTTTGATTGACCTTTGGGCATGGTTCCAAATTGTGCTCCAGAATGGTTGGATCAGTTCACAACTCCACCAACAGTGCATTAGTGTCCCAATTTTCCCATATCCCTCCAATATTTGTCATTTTCTTTTTCTCTTATATTAGTCAATCTGAGAGGTGTGAGGTCAGAGTTTTTTAAACCTCCATTTCTCTAATCAATAACAATTGAGAGCATTTTTCATATGACCATAAAGAGTTTTGATTTCTTTATTTGAAAACTGCCTATTCATATCCTTTGACCATATATATCAATTGGGGAATGGCTCTTATTTTTATAAATTTGACTCAGTTCTCTCTATATATATTTGAGAAATGAGGCCTTTATCAGAGAAACTTGCTGTAAAATTTTTTCTCCCATTCTTCTACTTTCCTTCTAATCTTGGCTACACTGGTTTTGTTTGTGCAAAACCTTTTTAATTTAATGCAATCAAAATTATTCATTTTATACCCTCTAATGCTCTTTATCTCTTGTTTGGTTATAAATTGCCCATAGATCTGACAGGTAAACTACTCCATGCCACACTTTACGTCTAAGTCATATAATCCACTCTGCTATCCATTTCCATTTTATGGGTAAGATCATCCCATTCACATTCACAGTTATTATCACTGTGTATTTTCCTTCATCCTAGCCCCCCCACCCCATTTATCCTTCTCTCTCTTTCCTCTCACTCTGTCCATCCTCAAAAATGTTTTGCTTCTGACCACTGCCTCTCCCAATCTGCCCTCCCTTCTATCAGCCCCTCACCTGCCATTTCCTTGAAGGTAAAATAGATTTCTAAACCCAAGTGAATGTGTATGTTATTCTCTCTCTGAGCCAATTCCAATTACAGTCAGGTTCAAGCATTGCTCACCCACCCCCATCTTCCCTGCCACCCTAAAAGCTCTTTCATACCTCTTATGTCACCTCTCCCTTCCCCCTTCTCCTAATGCATCCCTCTTCCTCACTCCTTAATTTTATTTTTTGGGATATCATCCCATCATATTCAACTCACAGCCATGCCCTCTGTCTATATATATATTCCTTCTAATTGCCCTAATAATGATAAAGTTCTTAGGAATTACAAGTACCATTTTCATATTCAGGGAAGTAAACAGTTTAACCTTATTGAATCTCTATGATTCCTCTTTCATGTTTTAACTTTTTATGTTTCTATTGAATTTTGTATTTGAAAGTCAAATTTTCTATTCAGCTCCTATCTTTTCATCAGGATTGCTTTAAAGTTCTCTATTTTATTAAATATCCATTTTTTCCCCTGAAGGATTCTACTCAGTTTTGCAATGTGGGTGATTCTTGGTTATAATCTTAGCTCCTCTGTCCTCTCAAATATCATAATGCAAGTGCTCTGCTCCATTAACGTAGAAGCTGCTAAATCTTGTGCTATCCTGATTGCATCTCCAGTATATTTGAACTGTTTCTTTCCGGCTGCCTGCAATATCTTCTCCTTGATCTGGGAGCTCTGGACTTTGGATATAACATTCCTCGAGTTTTCATTTTAGGATCTCTTTCAGGAGGTGATAGGTAGATTTCTTTTAATTTCTATTTTACCCTCTGTTTCTAGAATATGAGGGCAATTTTCCTTGATAATTTCTTGAAAGATGATATCTAGGCTCTTTTTTTGATTATGGCTTTCAGATGGTCCAATAATTCTTAAATTATCTCTCCTTAATCTTTTTTCTAAGTAATTTGCTTTTCCAATGAAATATTTCACATTTTCTTTTTTCTCATTCTTTTGATTTTATTTCATTGTTTGTTGATGTCTCATAGAGTCGTTAGTTTCCACGTGCCCAATTCTAATCTTAAAGGACTTATTTTCTTTAGTGAGCTTTTGAATTTCCTTTTCCACTTGGCCAATTCTACTTTAAAGTAGTTCTTCTCTTCAGTGAATTTTTGTACATTTTTTCCATTTGGCCTATTCTGTTTTTTAAGGTGTCATTTTTTTCAGCATTTTTTTGTACCTCCTTTACCAAGCTATTGACTTTTTTTCACGATTTTCTTGCATCATTCTCATTTCTTTCTCCCAATTTTTCCTCTATCTCTTTTATTTGATTTTTTAAATCCTTCTTGATTTCTTCCAGGAATTCTTATGAGCCTGAGACAAAGTCACCTTTTTTTGGGGGGGAGGGGAGCTTTGCATGTAGCTGTTTTGACATTGCTGTCCTTCTGAGATTATGTTTTGATCTCTGTCACTATTTCAGGTTCTTGTTTGTTTATTTGCTCATTTTCCTGACTATTTCTTGACTTTTAATTTAATGTTGAAGTTGAGATCTTATCCCAGGGTGGAGGGCGCACTGTCCCAACCTTCAGATTTTATGTGTTGCTGTTTTCAGATCTAGTTCTGGAGGGTCTGTAAGTTTTTGGTTCTTCCAAGGTGGTATGATCTAAGGAGACATGTGCTCACTGCTCTCCTGGCCTATACTCTGGTGTGTGAGCAAGCACTCTTTTCTGCCCTGCAACTGTGTCCTGACTCGTTCTAGTGCTCCTCCCTGGCCTGGCACTGTGACCTGGAACTGTGTATGGGCAATGCAACAGAGTTCTAAGTGCCAGGAAGAAATCCCTGCAATCTGCTTCTGACCAGCTGTCCACCCTTTACCGTCTGTGGGCTAAGAGCACTGATTCAGTTGTCTCCAAGGTCTGCTGTTGGCTTGTAGGGGAGTGGCCTGCACTGGCATGGCCTGTTTTGAATTGTATTCCACTCTCACCCTGCTGAGACAGACCTTTTCTGCTAGCTAACCTTCTAAGTTGTCTTGGGCTGGAAAATGGTTCCACCTTGTCCTTTTGTTGATTCTAACATTTCGGAATTGATTTTGAGGCATTATTTTAATGTTGTTTGGAGGGTAATTTGCAAGAGCTCAGGTGGCTTCCTGCTTTTAGTCTGCCATCTTGGCTCCACCCCAACCAACATCTTTATTCAAAAGAATGGTCTTCACAATTACAGAACTATGTAGGCAGGAGTAGATAACATTCATGTGAAAAGAGGTGGTTGTTGTTGTTCAGTTGTTTCAGTTGTGTCAGATTCTTTGTGACCCCTTTTGAGGTTTTCTTGCCAAAGATAGTAGAGGGGTTTGCCATTTCCTTCTCTGGTTCATTTTGCAGATGAGGAAACTGAGGTAAACAGGATTAAGTGACTTGCCCATGGTCACACAGCTGGTAAGTGCCTGAGGTCAGATTTGAACTCAGGAAGATTAGTCTTCCTGACTCCAGGCCTGGAACACTATCCACTGCATTACTTAGCTGTCCATGAAAAGGATTAGGGAATTTAAACAGACTATAAATTCACTATGATTCAAATGGTTAACATGACAGCAGAAAAAGTTAATGTGATTTTAGGTTATTTTAAGAGAGGCAGAGTATGTAGGTCTAGGCAATAATCCCATTGTACTTCTGCCCTGATCAGACCCCATCTGGAACACTAAGTTCAGTTACAGACACCACATTTTAGGAGGAGGTAGACAAACTGAAGTATGTCTAGCAGAGGGCAAATGGGGTTGTGATAGGATTGAAAAGATCACATCATAGAAGAACTTGTTGAAGGAAATGTGGAAGTTTAGCCTGGAAAAGAGACTTAGGGGCTAACAATACTAATAATAGTTTTCAGGTCTCTGAAGGGTTTTCAAGTAGAAGACATTTAAACTTGTTCTGCTTGGCCCCAGTGGACCAAACCAGAGGTAATGGGTGGAAGCTGCAGAGAGAAAAATTTAGGCTTGATTGAAGAAGAAAGTTCCTAAGATTAGAGCTGCCTGATAGTGAAATGGACTGCCTTGGGAACTAATGGGTTTCCTCTTACTGGAGGTCTTCAAGAAAAAGCTGGATAATCACTTGAAATTGATGGAATAGAGGGATTTCATGGTCAGGGATAGATTAGACTAGATTGCATCTGAGGTCCCCTGTTCTCAGAATCTCTGAGATTCTGTGACTGTGATTGTGCGATCCTAAGTCTCTTATTTTCATAAGGGATTTTTAAATTTATAAGGCAATCAGGCAATTAGTGTCAGGATCCAATGATGTGTAACTATAGAAAGAATAATTTACTTTTGAAAAAGTAAGAATTTCAAAGTGATCACAAAAATGCAATAAAATTCAGAGGATCTAGAATCTTATTGCTGCATTATTTGAGTACAGTTCTTTATTAAATACAGTACAACAATATAAACCATACCTGGGCTATGAAGTCCATTATTCTTCCCTTGATATGAATCTCTTCAAGAGGGATTTGAATCCCAGAGAGATCCTGAAGGCCAGCTTTTATGTTGATGAAAGGGTCAGTATCTGGTAACGCATAATCTAAATAGTAACAATTCAATTGTTAGGTTTTTTTAAAGTGTCTTTGCTTAGTATAATTGTTTAGTTACCTTGCCTATTGATACTTTTACTTAACTTAATACACTTATATTTTATGGCAAATGTAGAAATAGCAATTTATTTCAAATAGCAGAGGATGAAGTTTAAATAAATAAAATTTTTAAACAGCAAAGAGTTGGCAGCATTTGGAGAAAATATTTTTCTTTTTTTTTTTTTCTTTTTGGCTAGGCAATGGGGTTAAGTGACTTGCCCAGGGTCACACAGCTAGTAAGTGTTATGTGTCTGACGCCGCATTTGAACTCAGGTCCTCCTGAATCCAGGGCCAGTGCTCTATCCACTGCACCACCTACCTGCCCCCTAAAAATATTTTTTTCTTTAAAAATTTAAGAACTTTCCCCCCCTTCTCTTCTCTCAATGTTCTTTTCAGCATTTTCTTTTTTTTTTAAATTGAATTCCAAGTGTATTTCTTGAAAAGTTAAATTTATTCTTTAGTATACCACTAGGATTTGTAACACTCACTATTAAATTTAAGAACACTCTTTGGTTGCTTACATATCTGATAACTCACAAGGTATTATATGAGTTCTATGATATAAATATTTCATTTTTTCTTTTTAAAGATATTTTAAAATTTTATTACATGTTTATTTTTAGTACTCTTTTTAAATTTTGAGTTCCAAATTCTCTTCCTTCTTCCCACACCCTCCCCTGCCCACTGAAGAAGAAAGCAAAATGATATCAGTTATGCATGTGAAATCATATAAAACATTTCCATATTAGCCATATTTCAAAAAATAAAAGCAAGAAAAATAGAGAAAATCACACTTCAATTTGCACTCAGAGTCTGTCAATTATCTCTGTCTGGAGTCGCATGGCATTTTTTTCATCATGAATCTTTTGGAATTGTTTTGGATCACTGTACTAATCAGAGTTGCCAAGTCTTTCACACTTGATCATCACAGCAACATCACTGTTACTGTGCACAATGATCTCCTGATTCTTCTCACTTTACTTTGCATTAGTTCATATAGATCTTGCCATCTTTTTCTGACACCACCCCCCTTATCATTTCCCACAGCACAAAAGTACTCCATCACAATTATATGCTACTTATTCAGTCATTTCCCAAATGATGAGCATCCCCTTGATTTCCAATTCTTTGCCACCCCCAAAAGAGCTGACATAAATATTTTTGTACATATAAGTCCTTTTCCTTTTTTTCTTGTCTCATTGAGGTAGAGATCTAGTAGTGATATTTCTGGGTCAAAGGGTATGCACAGTTTTATAGTACTTTGGGCCTAGTTCCAAACTGTTCTCCAGAATGGGTGGACCAGCTCACTACTGTATCAATGGTTCATTAATGTACCTATTTTCCCTCACCTCCTCCATCATTTGTCTTTTCTGATAGGTATGAGGTAATATCTCAGAGTTGTTTTAATATGCTTTTCTCTAATCAATAGTGATTTAGAATTTTTTATATGACTATAGATAGCTTTGATTTCTTCTTCTGAAAACCGTTTATATCCTTTACCATTTATCAATGGGGCAATGGATTTTTTATTTTTATTTTTGAAATTTTGAAATTTTGATTTTGATTTTTAAAATTTGACTCAGTTCTATACTCAGTATATATTTGAGAAATGAGGCTTTTATCAGAGAAACTTGTGGTAATAACATTTTTGGGGGAAGTGGAGCCAAGTTGTCAGAGAAAAAGCAATGACTTGCCTGAGCACTCTCCAAAACCCCTCCAAAAACCATTAAATAATGCCATAAAACAATCCTAGGGCAGCAGAACTCACAAAAGAGTGGGGTGAAATGATTTTCTGGCCAAAGACAACTTAGAAGATCAGGAGGAAAGGTCTGTCACACCTGGGTAAGAATGGAACATAGTTCAGAACGGGCTGTGCCAGCACAGACCCAGCCCAAGCAAAAAGGCCTGAGGCAGGCTTTTGGAGCCACTGAATCTGCAATGGCAGTGGCTGCTTCCAGAGCCCTCAAGCCACAGATAGTAAGGGGCTGGAACAACTGATCAGAAGGTGATTACAGGGGTCTCTCTGCTCGCACTGAGGCAGGACTTTGTTGCTTTGCTCATACTCAGGTCTGGATCACAGCCCTAGATGGCAGTTCCAGGGCAAGGAGGAGCACCAGCTGAACCCAGCTTGTGGCCACAGTGGAGTGGGGACCCTCGTCACAATTCCAAAAGAGTGCTTGTGGTTGCTCACAGACCTGAGCACAGGCTAGAAGAATAGTATACACACCTCTCCTTAGATCTTACCACCTTTGAGGAATGGAAAACTTAAAGGTCCCTAGAAGTATCTCTAAAAACAACTGCACAAAACCTCTGAAGCTTAGGACAATGTGCCCTCTACCCTGGAAGTAGAGTTTTTACTTTAAGAAAGAGTTAAAAGTCAAGAAATAGGCTGCGAAAATGAGCAAACAACAGAAAAGATTCTGACCATAGAAAGTTACTATGGTGACTAGGAAGATCAAAACACACACTCACAAGAAGATAACAAAGTCAAAGCTCCTATATACAAAGTCTCTAAGAAAAATATGAATTGTTCTCAGACCATAGAAGGGCTCAAAAAAGGATTTTGAAAATCAAATAAGAAAGGTAAATGAAAAATTGGGAAGAGAAATAAGAGTGATGCAAGAAAATAATGAAAAACAAGTCAAGAGGTTTGTAAAGGAGGCACAAAAAATACTGAAGAAAATAACATTTAAAAAAACAGACTAGGCCAAATGGTAAAAGAGGTACAAAAAGCCAATGAGGAGAAGAATGCCTTGAAAAGCAGAATTGGCCAAATGGAAAAAGAGGCACAAAAATTCACTGAAGAAAAAAACTCCTTAAAAAGTAGAATTGGACAAATGGAAAAGGAGGTACAAAAGCCCACTGCTCTCAAAATAAAAACTCTTAGGAATATTATAGCAAAATTCTAGAGCTTCCAGGTTAAGGAAAAAATATTACAAGCAGCCAGAAAATAACAATTCAAATATCATGGAGCCACAGTCAGAGTAAGACAAGATTTAATAGCTTCCACATTAAAGGATCATGGGCTTGGAATGTAATATTCTGAAAGGCAAAGGAGCTAGAATTACAACTAAGAATCACCTACCCAGCAAAACTGAGTATAATTCTTTAGAGGAAAAAAAAACATTCAAAGAAACAGAGGACTTTCAAGCATTCTTGATGAAAAGACCAGAGCTGAAGAGAAAACTTGACTTTTAAATACAAGACTCAAATACAAGCATAGATAGGTAAACAGGAAAGGGAAATCATAATGGACTTAATAAGATTAAACTGTTTACATTCCTACATGGGAAGATGATATTTGTAACTCATAAGAACTTTCTCATTATTAGGATTGTTAGAGAGAGTATATAGAGACAGAGGGCACAGGTGTGAGTTGAATATGAAGGGATGATATCTGAAAAGATAAAATTAAGGAGAGAGGAATGCACTGGGTGAAATGGAAAGGGAGAGGCAGAATGGGGTAAATTATCTCATACAAAAGAGGCAAGAAAAAGCTTTTACAGTGGAGGGAAAGATGGGAGAGAAGAGGAGGAGTGAGTGAACCTTACTCTCATCAGAATTGGCTCAAAGAGGCAATTAATTTCACACACACTCAATTAGGTGTAGAAATCTATCTTACCCTACAGGAAAGTAGGAGAGAAGGGGAATAAGAGAATGTCAAGATTGGTATGATTTAGTTCCTCCAGCAATACTTACTTTTTGGTTTTTGAACAAAGATCTCACTTCTAGAGTACCAATAATTAAGGCTTCTAGACAATCTGAAAAACTATGATTCTTAACGTCTCTCTTCCCCATTTTCCAACACTCTGCCACTCTCTCTGTAGAAGGGGAAAGAGGTCATACAAAGATGAAGGCCATTTTATATTTTTCTTTGTTTTATGGTGTGCCATTGCCCAAGAAATTCATCACCAAGTGGCCAACCTACTAGTGTTCAACATCTCTGTATGTAAGCTGAGCCTAAAGCAGACAGTCTTTCACTAAGACTATATATACTCAAAGACTTTCCAGCATGGTAGAGTAGCTGGAGCTTGCACTTCATTGCCCTAGGTCTTGAGATTCTGGGTTACTTTCACCCAACGAGGAGACTTTGGAGTAAGATTCTGTTCTATAAATATTACCAAATATAGGTGTTTGGTAAATGTGCTTAGAAAAATGAATTAATTAAATTAGAGACTCTTACCTTTAAGTTGTGAATGATCATTTAAAATCTCATGTCTATTTTTCTCCCACTCAGTATCAGCGCAAGGACAAAAGTCCTTTACTCGGTCTCCAGGCACACAAAAGTTAACAAGGTATTGCATTTTAACCTGACTGGTTTTGTATACAACAAATTCATCATCCTAGGACAAGGAAAATGAAATCCTTAATAAATTGGTGGAAAAAATTACAATAGTAGATGTTTTCATAAAAACGTATATTTATAAGCTGATTTAGAATTTTATGTTAACACAACCAGCCCATAATAATGTGGATTTCATGACTGTGTTATTGATAGAAAATATCTGAGGATATAGAGAGGTAAGGTAGTATGAGAAATCTCTTTTATAAACTCTATCCTTTCAATCTTGTATTATACTCCCTTACAGGTGGTATGGAGAAGTGGATAGAGAGTGGATCTTGAAGTCAGGAAGAGTAGGGATCCAATCCTGCCTCTGAGATGCATCCTGGCAGCCCCTAGACAATTCTCTAGAATATAAATTGAAGTTACACTGATTTTTCCCCTCTTTTACTTTTTAAATATTTTTTCTTTCAAAAATACTATTTATTATATAGGATGGCTCTTTGGGAAGAAGAAAAAAAGGGACACTGGGGGAAATTATGATGAACTAATAAAATACATCAACAAAAAGTTATTAAAGGGGCAGCTAGGTGGTGCAATGGATAGAGCATTGGCCCTGGAGTCAGGAGGACCTGAGTTCAAATGTGACCTCAGACACATAACACTTACTAGCTGTGTGACCCTGGGCTAGTCACGTAACTCCAATAGGAGCCTCACCAAAAATAAATAAAGTTATTTAAAAAGAAAAAAGAGAAGTTGTACAGAAAGTGTTGACCTATATTGGAAGAGGGAGTTTCCTTACCTGTGAATTTCATATACAAATGAAATCACAGGTCCAGTCCCTATCCCTATCTCACTACCCTTTATTTTGTATTTCAGCCAAATAATTACTTCCTGCCCCCTAAATACACGATGTACTCTTGTGTCTCCATGGCTTTGCTTGCAGAATTCCTTTTTCCTGGAATCCTCTCGACGTTTCACCTGTTGAATTCCTACCTATCCTTTAAAGCCCAACTCCTTAAGGAAGCCTCCTCTGATCCTTCAATCAATAATGTTCTTCCCCCTCAGGTCTTACATAGCACTTCTGTGTGCCTTTAATACATTTGCCATAAAATAGGATATATTCCAGCTATATGTAATCATGTTCCATCAACCTGGACATCGTGCAATGGAGAGAGTTCTGGATTCTTAGTGAAGAGTCCAGGTTCAAATCCCCATTCTACCACAAACTTGCAGGGTCACTAAGCAAATCACTTATCTTTTCTAGAACTGAAGTTTCCTCAATTATAAAATAGGGGTGAGGGGACTGCTGGACTATATGACTTTTGAGTTGCCTCATAGTTCTAAATCCATTTTCTACTAGTTCTACCAGCTCCTTGAGGGCAGAGACCATGTCTGATCTAAATTTTCCATCTGGCCCAGGGCCTAGCACAGTGTTCTTTTGTCATGAACATTTAATATGCATTTGTTGTATTGTACTTATTTAAACATCAACATATTTGATTCAAGGGACTAGAATAACTATAGACCCTTCTTTTAATATTCAATAGAACACCTGATTGCATTAATATATAAATACCTCGAAGTCTGAGATGATATGTTCTGTTCTCCGAATTCCATGCACACTGTTGTAACTTGGCGGTGGCTCAGTTAATGAGAAATCTCTCTTGTGCAAATTCATACAGGATCCAAGGGCAACATCACAAACAACCAGGAATCTAGTGCCATTTGTTTTATTTGATTTTGTGTACTTAATGCTTGCACTACATGTGAAAGAATACGTGCCATTATAGCGCACTTGTATGCTTTTGTTTTTTAAGGACAATATAATAATGTATATATCTTATCAATGGACTTAGTTATATTAGTAAAAAAATATTTATTAAGAATTATGAAATCCAAGCAAATTGCTTTCTTTTTTGGAGGTATATTTACTCTTAATAGCAAAACTAAAGGGTGGGGTTTGAACTCAAAGCATATACAACTTTTCAAGAAGCTAGAAAAAAATCCAGAAGCACCAGATTATAGCACCTTTTTAAATGACATAAATGAAACAACAGAGGTCTTTGCTATAAATGAACCCAATACATTCATATTTCATAACCAATGTTCACTTTGAGATTATAAGTCAATAAATATAGCTCAAAAAAGAAATAGAGGAAAGGTGGAGACAGTTCATTAGAGATTAGCTTCTTTTCTTGATGAAGATTTATACAATTAATTAAATTCAGTTAATTAATTACAATCCCCCATTTTGCTAGTTTTTCTTAGAAAGAGTCAAAAAGGTTATAGTTTCGTTGGTAGTTTACCTAGAGAAAACTGTTTTAATTATCATTGTGAGAAAAATTGACTTAGCAGAGTTGATTAAATTGGATAACATTCCTTCCCACCCCAATTGACAGCCAATTAGTTTGTATAAAGGTAAATATAAGTAAGAATATAAAGGAAGAAACACCTTTTCCTTATAGTCCAATTGTGTATACAATCCACATATAATGGTGAATAACCTTGTAGTAAATCAATATTACTGAAAGATCAGTTCCCCTAAATTTATGAAAACAAAAGACATGAGCAAAGCCTCATAGTCTCTGCTGCTGGGCAGCAAAGGCTGGTAGATCAAGTTTAACAGTTCTGAGCTCCAATGGGCACAAGCTGAAGATTTTCCGTACTAAGGTCAGCACCAGGAAGATGTAAGAGTCTGCCTAAGGAGGGGCAAACAAGTCCAACTGAGCAGGTAAAAGATCCTGTGTTGATTCATGGTAGACTCAAGATTGTGGGAATCTGGGCTCTTCCATCTGGGGCAAGACAGAGAGACCAGTATTCCTCCAAACTAACACACACACACACACACACACACACAGAGTCCCCAAACAAAAAGCAAAAGACTTAACTATAACTATGCTAAAAAAAAAAATCAGTCACATACAGTACATTTGTTACTTGGGAGGGAAATTCCACAAACAAAACTGAAAAAAAAAAGTGAAGTATCTAGTGGGTACTCAATTATTCACTGATAATGACAGTGAAGGAGAAGCATAGTTGGGAGTACTGTACTGACCTGAGAGAATCACTGAAGTATATTCCACTACCAAGATTTCCAAAATCTGTTCTTTCTATTCCATGATCTTCAACCAATCTTTTGGGTAACAGCAATCCCCTATAAAAAGAAAGAATGTCATAGTCATGTAGGGGAGAAAATGTTTCATCTCAGATTCAGAACTGTAGTTCACATACACACATAAAAGCATAAACCAAACAAATCTTAAGATATATTTCAAGTTAATCAAGGTGGGGAAAGAGGTCAGGGTACTACTTAAATTAAAAAATCATATCCCTAGTTGCTCATCACAATAGAATCAATATAATCGTTCCCTATTTGGACTACAGTTCTCCCTGACCTCAGGCTCTTTCTATTTCATTTCCCATAAGTGTCATGGTAATTTTCTTCAGTTTTTTTTTTAAGGCAATTGGAGTTAAGTGACTTGCCCAGTGTCAAGTGTTTGGTCTGAGTCCAGATTTTAACTCAGCTCCTCCTGACTTCTGGGCCTGTGCTCTATCCACTGTGCCACCTAGCTGCCGCATAATTTTCTTCAGTTTTAAAAAAAGAATTCCTTTTCTTTTATTATGAACTTTCTGTGTGGCTCAGAGAAAACCTATTATCATTCACAGCTTCTAATTCTTTCAAACTGTTTATGATATAAATGAGAAGGTTATATAAGTCCACATGGCAAAAAAGATAAGAATTCCAATTTGCTAAACCAGTTGAAAAATAAAGCCATTTCCATTCTCTAATAAAACTATTCTTATGGTTTAAAATAAATGGGAATAGATTGATTAATTTAAATGATCTTAGATACTCAAATGCTCATCTTAATCATATGTATTTATAATACATGCACACATATATGTACATATCAACATATTGATATATCAATAATACGTCTAATAATTCATATCTTCCTTTATTTTTAAACTTAATTTTTAAAAACACATCTATTTGAGTAACAAAGGTACTGAATTTTTCCTTGGCTGAAAGGTTTTAAAGGAAATATTGGTTTTCCCATCAGATTTTCTACATGTATAATAATAAATCATTACAGAACTAAGATGAAAATAATTTTTAGGAACAAATTAAGGGAATTCTTGTTTAATATGAAAAACTTTAAAATAAACTGAAAAAGTTTGGGTGAAATAAAGATAGATAGAGTACCGGGAAAGAATTCCAACAATATTTCTCCCAGGTGTTCCATGTAGTAAGGACTGCACATTGCCAAGCTTGCTCTGAAATTCCACAGTTTCATTAACTCTGCCAATTCGATATACATTTAAGATGTCCACTGGATTCTGCCTGCAAAAATTATAAAAGGAACCTTCAGACTATATTACTAACTCACCACAAAGACAAAAAAAGACTTGAGGGTCAACTCTACACCAAGAGTTATACAAAATAAAAAGGGTTATATAACAGGGGTTATACAAAACAAAATAAAGTTGGGCAAGTGACTTCCTATGAAGCTCTATAGGCTGGGTTTGTTTCTATTCTCATTAAATATTGGTCCTTTGATCACAGTGGTTATAGCCATACTGATGGGAGGGCAGACCTGTTTGTTGGAAGTGGGCATCAAAGTGGGCTGTATCTTGTTAAAATTACAATAAGTGTTGATTCTAGCATTTGATGAATATTTTGACCCATGGGAAAATCTTCTGAGAATCATCATTCCCTAAGAGAACTGATTTGCTCTCTTCAAGTCACTTAAAACTAAATATTAAGTAAATTCTTGCCTTCTGATGGCCATTAGCACCATAAGCTAGTATTGCATTACCACATGATAACGGATTTTACTCATGCACTACACAATCCAGAAAACTCAGTCAACTCACATTATTCATATTCTATTGCCTACCTATTCTAGTTTTCTTGGGATGAAGTTCAGACTTATTGTGCTCCCCGTAGGGAGGTCAAGTGTTATTCTTGAAGGCTTGTGGGTATTTCAAAGACCCACGTTGTTGCTATGGCAGCCCTCTATTAACCTTATGGAGGTTCTGGAGGGACTAAAGTAGAGAGCAAATGACAAAAAGAAGATTGACTACATGTCAAATCTGTTTAGGCAAAAAATCATCTGTATTACTAAAGACTACCCTGAAGAACCAAGGAAAAGTAAGAGAAAGAAATATCCTCTACTGTAATGTTATATCAAATGTCTGAGCACTGATTTATTATTGCATTTAGGAGGCTTGTACTGAGGAACTGAATAAACAGAAGCACGTCCTCTGTTTGTGGTTAGGTAGAGTATAGGTAGCAAAAAAGGTCAATACTTTTCCAAAATCTATGTGGTAGCCTCACTAAAACAATCAAAAGTTTCTTGCAAAGATAATCATAAAGAGGATCATAGGATGGACTTTAGAGACTTTCCTGAGGTCATGTAAGTAGCAAGTAGTAGGAGCCAACATTGGAACCAAACTCCTCTAACTCCAAAATCCAGACCTCTTTCCATAAAACTAGAGGATGACAGGAGACAAAGGACAATACAAAGACAAAGCACAGAAAGTCTGGATTTTTCCAGGTGTGTTTTTGCCGAGTTTACAATTCTAGTTTTTTCATGCCACATTAAAAAGAAAAACAAAATCCAAATCCAAATCACAGCCCCATATTTTTCCCATTTTTAACCTCGATTTTTAAGGGACCCCCCCACCCAGGTAATAAGAAAGAGATTAACGGGTTGTAACACACAAGGCTCAAATGCTCTGATTTTTTAAATTCTCAAAGAGATGTAACTACTGCAAAAAAGAAAATGTGAGGTGTAATAATAAGGCAGGAAATCAAACACAGAAGATCAAACAACCTGCAGATATCAGGAAAGAAAGAAATCTAATAGAAACAGCAGGGTAAGAGTCAGGATTTTATTGAAGTTACCTGTTACCAGTTCTGGTAGTATAGTGCTCTTTATATAAATCTGATATATTATTGTGTAATTAATTATACAATGCAAAAAACTAATCTTTTGCTCACCCATAATTTTTTTGCAATACCTCTTCTTTAACCTTGGAAAACTCTCTCGTGTTCTCATTAACATGCTCAATTTTGCATCTCAGAGCTCGATATTTGGCAAGAGAAGGTGGGTTAGGTCTTGAGAGATTTGCTTCACTGACATTAACTACATCTCTTATGAGCTGTAGAGAGAAATAGTACAAAAACACTAAATTACCACATATTGAGGTTATTATAAATATATGCATGTCGATATGTACATACACTTACAGTTTTCTCATTAGGATGAAAAAATACACACAACTTTTTAACAGAAAAACTTTGTTAAGTATTAATCTTTCTTGCTGTTGGCATATTAAGGTTTACACACATAGGGCCCTAGGAGTGTTGATTTAGGGGGGAAAGAGACTTCAGAGAACATTTATTTCAACCCCCTCATTTTATAGATGAGGAAACTAAAAACCAAGGAGGATAAGTGACTTGCCCAAAGGTCACACATTTCTCTCTATAAGACTTTCTCTACCATGCTGTAGAAACCTCTCCAGCCCTTGACTATTTCTCCCCTTGGAAGTACCTTCCCCCTTGGCTGATTTCTTTCAGGATCTCTACTTTCAGAGGCCAGCTAGGCCTTCATTCCTTTCCAGGACACACAGACTCTCTACAGGTCTACAGTACCTTCTCTACCAAGCTGCTGGGATCTTCATCTCCCTCCCACCTCAGAGCAAGAACTGTCTTTCTTTCTGCTTGTTATTTGTATGCCCAACACTTAATAGTGTCCCTGAAATATAGTAAGTGCTTGACAAATGCTTGTTGAAATCAGTGTGCTTTAAACTACACCACATTACTTTACATATTATTACGTTGGCCCATGACAGCATAGTATATAATCAGTTAGGTATCTGAATTACTCTTTTTTAATGGACTTGCTGAATTTAACATATTCAGCTTGCATACTGTAAATGAAGGCTGCTGTTGCTATTTTACTTAGAAAATTTTACTGCTATTTTGATTCACTGGCCTCCCCACCTCCCACTCCCCACTACCCCCACAGCCCATCAGAGGTAGCTGCTATTAGTAACTCAAGGCTAACACATAAGGAAATTAGAGTGGGGCATAGCAATTCATCAACATTTCAAATGAAACTTGGAAATTTGCAGGACAAAATTTTCCAATAAGAAAACCTGGCTTGTTCAGCATTGCCCTTCCAGTTGCCTGACACATATACCTAGTGCTAGTATGTCTTTCAAACTTATCTCTTAATGTTCTGCTTCCTTGATCATTGTATTTTCTCCAATTCTAACATTTCACTTAGCCCTAACCCTGAACCGGCTGTTCAGTATCTCTGTTAGACCCTTTTAAAGTGCCCTGTGGAATTCTTGTTATTTTGTGAGCAAACTTTCCTGCATGTTCAAACTCCCAACAAGTGGAGAAACTGGATGGTGGGTATCACCCACCTTTGAGACTGGCAGTTGTAGGTCAAGTGGAAGAAGGCCTTCAGGGTGGTGAGTAGGGAATCATCAAAGTGGCAGACATTAGCACTCAGCAATGCTTGTCACATTGAATAGAACCTTGACACCACCCTTCAGGGCCTATCTTGAATGCTGCCATCCCTTGTCCCAGTGGAAAGTAACTTTTTCCTTATCTGAATTCCTACTGCATTCTTACTGCCCTTTTTTGTTGTTGGTCAGTCACGTCTGACTCTTTATGACCCCATTTTGAGGTTTTCATGGCAAAGCTACTGGAGTGTTTTGCCATTTCCTTCTCCAGTTCATTTTATAGATGAGGAAACTGAGGCAAACAGAATCAAGTGACTTGCTCAGGGTCACACAGCTAGTAAGTGTCTAAGGCCAGATTTGAAGTCAGGAAGATGAATCTTCCTATTCCAAGCCTAGTGCTCTGCCTACCACTTAGCACCACTTAGCTGTCCCTTCTGCTCTTTTACAGCCTGACATTCATTTTATAACTTATCTATTCTATGAGACTGCAAGCTTTTGAGGGCACATGTCTTATTCATCTTCATATCTTCTAAAGCACCTTGCTTACTATGTGCAAAGCACTGAGCTCTCCATAAATATGTGTTGAATTGATTGAATGAATATTTGAGAATAAAATGAAGATGAAGGAGAGCATTTAACATTGAGTTGAATGTTCTGTAGATATGAAAGCTCAAGGCAACAGGTAGCCACTCTCATTAGATAATTACCATTCTTAGTAATAGTATATATAATCAATGACTTTAAAATCTTTAGGATTGGTCTCAGACACAATGATAGGCTATGTGGAGAAATTTCTATTTCTATAATGTTATTCATTGAATCATGAAATTTTATGTCTGGAGATTAGCAGTTATATAGTCTAATTGTTTGTTTGACAACGAGAAAGCTGAACTTGACAAAGATCATGTAATTAGCAACTCATTACACAGGAATTTATTTCAAGAGAGGTTAAGGGTAGGGCCTGGACCTGTGAGTTCATTGGTAAGGGCACTCTCAGGTGAGGAAACTCCTTCCACCAATGCAGGTTGGTCCCCTCTAGTCTCAAAGACTCGCCTCCAGCTTGAAAAGGTTAAGTCATGCAGTCACTATGTGTCAGAGGCAAGACTATAACCCAGATCTTCCTGATTGCAAGGACAACTCTCTATCCATTATACCACACTGCCTCACCATTCTTTTTTTTTTTCTTTTGGTGAGGCAATTGGGGTTAAGTGACTTGCCCAGGGTCACACAGCTAGTAAGTATTATGTGTCTGAGGCCAGATTAGAATTCAGGTCCTCCTGACTCTAGGGCCAGTGCTCTATCCACTGTGCCACCTAGCTGTCCCTCTCCATTCTTTTTTACATAGAGCCTTTACAGAGGTATTTCTGAATTTGAGCTAGTATATCAACATATTTATGAAGAGACTTTAAAAACCTGACTTAAAGAACATTGATCAAAGTTTTTAAAAACTCTTCATAGAAGTCCTTTTTAATATCTCAATTTAGCTATAAATTTCAAAGTAATACCTGGCAGAGATCTTCTTTCTTAGATAACAGTCTTTGGTTAACTTCATCTTCTGTACTTCTATGAGGTATAAGTCGGTAGAATTCTGACATCAGCTTTCTCAACTCTTCTGCTGTTTCTCCCTTGTTTAATGTTGCCTTAACTTGAAGCAGAATTCCCTCAGCTTTGCTCACCTTTAATATAAAATATTATTAAAATGAAATCTTGGTAAATAGAGCAAAAAATAACCAAATCTTTGGTAGCCATATTGTAACTATTAATTCTAAAGATGAAAGCAACAGGATTCTTCAAAAAATATAGTATTAAAAAATTGGACTCAGTTTACAGAAAGGAAGTATGATGCCAATTTTTGATGAGTATTGCTGTACCTTTAGGAGACTTGCTTTTCAAATAAATCCAGGAAGATGTTTGAATTAAATGATAAAGAACAGCAATAAAACTACTATGAAGTAGAATAGGAAGGATCCTATTAGATACCTGGTACATAATGTTATTTTACACAATCACAAGTCCAAAAAATGACTTCAATACATCAAGGATCTATCATTCATCAGAAAAGGGGTTGGGATCTTATACCTTAGTCTAAGAGTTCTTAACTTTTTTTATGTCCCAGGCCTCTTTGGCACACTAGTGAAGCTTATGGAGCCCTTCTCAGAAAAATGCTTTTAAATATATAAAATAAAACACAGAATGATTACAAAGGAAACCTATCACATTGAAATACAATTACCAAAACATTTTTTTAAAAAGTTTAAGGACCCCACATTAAGAATCTTTTCCTTAGATAGTTTTATTCATGTGGCCAAAATAAAATCATCTCCTGGAGGCCAGCTTTGGTCTTAGCTAGGATGATCCTTGGAAATCCATTTCCAGGTATATACTTAAAGTCTGTCCACTTTAGTAGGACCTCAGTACTTATGCTCTGCTGTTATGGCCTTGAAGAACTGAGGATCATCCCCTTACATCAAACTTACTTTCAAAAAGCGTAAGATAAAATAATCATCACCAAGGTTTTTCTACTGGTAAGAGTTAGAAATTACTAAATTAGCTTTCTTTCTGGTACAAATCAGCCTCTTGTGAGTCTAGGAAGAATAAGCCAGTTTCTCCAAAGTCTCATCCCCACTGAATAAACTGGCCAGTGAAATTTTATATCTATTAAATTAAGTCACAGAATTGCTCAGAAATTTTTTCCTTCACATGGAAAATGGTCCCTGGCAATATGTGATGCTGTGCTATTAATGTTCATATCAATGTTTCCAGTTTATTAAATATCATATTGTTAAGAAATATTGTGTCTACCTCTCAAAATAGTTCAATTATGGAACTCTCACCATGTTTTTGACTTAACAACTCAACTTGCTTTTCTATGCCATGGCAGAATCTGACTTCAGTTAGTATATACTACAAATGGATCTAATTATTATGTCTTAAGTTGCTATTCTGAAAACAAAACGTTTTTTAAGTAGAACATATTTTTCCCAAATCACTGACTTACATCATTTAGGCTGATGCTATTTGCTGGCTTGAGAAGAATGTTCTCCAGGTGACCAAGAGCTTCCACCCAAATCAACTCCACTAAGGTACTCACTTCTTCACTTATAGTATCTCCATTTAACACATCTTCCAACAGCAACTGGAACCAAAAAACACTCAAGTTACAAAAGTGGAAATGTTTAAAAGCAACCTAAGCATGAGAGAGGAATGAAGAGAAGCATAATTATGGCCTAGAGTAGTGAGAAGTAACATGGGCATTCTTGGCGTTCTACAGCTCCTCATCATAGTGCCTCTTTATTTTCTCACTCTTTCCTCATTTTCTGATGCTTTCTCTAGTTCTCTCTACCACTCCTTTCTCCCTTTTTTCCCCACTTTGGTTTATTTGCTTTAGGTCCTCCATTAAAACTCATGGGCATTTCTTACTCATATTAATGGTGCTTGGGCTAAAAAAGGCATATCCTGACATATTTTATGGAAGATAATTAAATGACATGAAATAAGTAGGGTTTGCTGTTTACATACATTACCAATCAGTTACAGATGTTGCAGATTATCCCATTTGGCTATTATGACCTTTTTTCATGGCTCTAAACCAAATAACCTCTTATTTCTATAAAGTTTTTTTCTCTACTTTTGCAATTCTTTTCTGTTCTATCAATTTTTCACTTAAATAAATACCTTTTCTCTCAAGAATATTAAAATAAGTTACTTAAATAATTTATGGCCAGAAGAAAGACAAATAAATAAATCAATCTAACTGCTTGTAACTTCTCAGATGCTAGTAGGTTTGCTTCAGGTGGAAAACTTTCTGATGGCAGAAATCCTTGTTTATTCAGTTCTTCAATATAATTCTCATAGTATTCACTTGCATCTTCAGATGTATTCTTTCTAGATAAATGTCTTCTAGTCTGTGAATTACAGTACATATCAAAGTGTTAGAATAAGAGCACTTTATTTACCCAGTAGTCACTTATCCAGGAATCTCAACTATCTGGAACATATCCAAAAGTTATCAAGTCAACAAAAATGTTCTTTGAGTAACAAAAATAGATTTCAAAGTCTACTTATTAGAGCTTCTGCTTATTTACTTTTACTTTACATAAAGTACTAACAAATTCAGTTATACAGTTTTCCAGTTCTGGGAAAATTAAAAACAATTGCAAGAGAAGAAGGAAGGAGGAAAAGGCTATTCCTCGATCCAGGAATACCAATAAGGAGCAAGAAATAACAGTTGACAGCAAGTGAGAAGGTAGAAAAACTACAAAAAGCAGACTGGAATTCATAAGGCAGAGTAATCTAAAGCAGTCTAGGATTTTGTAGGGGCAAATCTCTTGATATACTTCAATGGTCCCAAGGGTATCATTATATCATAACACAGCATATTAGTTGATATACATAATCACAATCTTGAGAAAATGTTAAATTATGTTTTGTATTTCATAAGGAAATCCATTAAATATCTAAAACTTACAAATTTTGACATTTAAAGGAGCAAGTTTCAGATATCTAGAAAATTCACTTAAGTAGAATATCTCATTCTATAATAAGCCAATTAAATAGGCCACATATTTTTTTTCTTTTGGATGAGGTAATTGGGGTTAAGTGATTTGCCCAGAGTCACACAGCTAGCAAGTATTACGTGTCTGAGGCTGGATTTGAATTTGGGTCCTCCTGACTCCAGGGCCGGTGCTCTATCCACTGAGCCACCCAGCTGCCCCTTAAATAATCTTTTTTTGTTTGTTTTTGGGCAGTTGGGGGTAAGTGACTTGTCCAAGGTCACACAGCTAGTGTCAAGTGTTTGGTTCGAGGCCAGGTTTGAACTCAGGTCCTCCTGACTTCAGGGCCAGTGCTCTATCCACTGCGCCACCTAGCTGCCCCCCCTGGAAAAACACTATCTTAAAGGATGTCCTCCAACATATACATGGGAAAAGCCTTATAAAATAATAAAAGATACCTTAGTTACCATAAGAACAAAACTAACTGTTGGATCTCCTCTGCACAAAATCGAGAGATGTGTGCTCTCTGATGTAAGGTATTTGCCTCTGTCATGGAAGACATCTAGTGCAGAATCCAAACAGAAGTAGTATTCCCTTTAGATGGAGGGACCTTCAAGATCTTCCTATTTGTAGATGACATTACTGAATGTAACCCCCAGAGACTCTGTTACTGAACTGTTGGAGGACCACAGAGAATAGTGTATGGAGGCCTATAGGAGAGCCCAAATTCCATCCAGTTTCTAGGGTCTTTGACTATGGAGGATTAAATAACTTCCTTCTAGGGAGAAGCCAGGAGGCTATGTAATGTGGGAAAAAAGGAAGAAACACGGTTCTGGAATTCCACATGGGCTGATTCTGTGCTATCTAGGAAGCATGTATAGGGAACAGAGTAATTTAGGCTGGTAGCTGTTGTTCACCTGATGCTCATCTATGAGCAGAGAGAAACAGAGGTGATCAACTAAGCACTTGAGACCTGACTGGACGCAAATGAGACAGGTACTGACGGGGATTCTTTTCACCAGTCTGACCGTATTTCTTCTTGTTTCGTCCTTCCACAGTGGGGAGGAAGAAAAAGGAGTGGGAAGGGATGAAAGACTCCAATACCCTAGCTTCAGCCATCTCAGCTTGAAAGCATTACTTTTAACTATTATCTTGATTCTATACTATTTGAAACTGCGACTAAAGCAAATAGGCATTTATGGTGATTCTGGTCCATGCCTGCAAGTATGCAGTTGTAGATTGAGAGGGGGGAAGTAAACCAATTGAGAAGAAAGCAAACAGCAAAAGATGGTGGCCAAGTCCTTGGGCTCATCTTGGCCATCACATGCTCTTGCTGCCATCAAATTCTAGCCACCATTGTCCCAGAGATAGGGGATAGTAGAGAAATCTCCTACTCCCTTTACTGGAAGCCCAACTGAGAGGAAGTATTGGAAGGGTGGTAAAAGAAAGAAATGGGGCTGGTTCTCCCCAAGAATTTTTTTAGCCCACTGAGTGGGTGGCACCCCTTGACTTTGTAGCAAATCATCTTCAATACATCTTATGGCACTGGTGAGCAATCAGGAGCTACTCTATCATCTCAATAAGGAATGTGTCCTTCAGCAAGGGGTCAGAGCACATGTCTCACAGAAAAAGACCAGAGCTCAGGCCCAGCTCCACAGGAGGTAACCTTCAGAGGTTCCTCAGTCACCCCCATGATAACTGTAATATGCCTTAGAACACTGCAGAACCTCTTAAATGAGATCAATAATCATTCAAAAGAATTAAGTCTAATTATCTAGAATAGAAAAACCTAACGGATGAAGGATGCTTATTATTTAGATTGTAATAAGAAGCTGCATGTCCAGCAGTTACAGCTAGTCTGTCACTACATATATCTCAGAGAAACACTGTGATGGATAATAAATGAATGTCCACTAAGAAGTGAAAAGGAAGTTGCATTTGAGAAATTGTGCAGCACTCTCAAACCAAAGCTTCTCCCTGAAACAAACAAACAAAAACCATTATTTTCATGCAAGTATTCTTCCAGTGATGTTTTGTGGCTCTAAATTATGGACTACTACAATCTCTGAAGAATCAAAATTATGGTCACCCAAAAGGCAATGAAGAGATGCAGGTGGGCATCAAAAGGCTACAATTTATTTCCAACAATGAATTGCAGGTCAAAAGGAATTACCAAAGATACCAAAAATGAAATGTCTAGCTGGGAAAGGAGGTAACCTGGTTATGTTCCAAAAGAGGACAACCCATATGCTGTACTGTTATGTACATAATATCAAGAAACCCAGAAGGCAGCTCTGGCCTGTTGAGTAGGCACCATGGAGGATTTATAGGAGGACATGGACAAGAATTAATGCATGGATGGGTGACCATCTGCTCTTTCGGAGGGACCACAGACCTACCGGGTTATTCATATATTCTATTTATTCTTCTCATTTAAATAAATCACAACATGCCAGGGGGAAATGTGCCCAAATCCTTTTGAAATTATTCTTGCTAAGGCTGGTTCATTGAGCCAAGAAATGAAGTGATAAATGCCCTAATCAAATAAGTTCCAGAAGTTTTTGAGATTCTAAAATTGTAATTGTGCCCTATGCTTTTTTTAGATGTACATATCAGTGCACTATTTTATTTCATTCTCTCTTTTTGCCCCTTAAGTAGACATTATATGAAACACTAAAGTATAATTAAATTATTCTTTATTAAATATAAGTGCATTTGCCTTTTATTTATTGGAAAATTATTACTCAAGGGGTAGTGGGAAATACAACATAAGTGGCAACATCTTACCAACACCAAATTACCTGTGAGAGACAGAAAGAAGGGTTCTTAGGAAAAGAGTCAAAAAATAAAGAGAGGAACTTGTATCGAAAAAGGGCTGAGAGGCAGAGGTTTCAGCAGGATCTGATAATGGTGGGGACCTCCCCTAATGGCTTTCAGGTATTGTTTTGGGCTGTGAACCTCAGACCATCTTTATTATTGTTGTTTAGTCATTTTTCAGTCACTTCTGACTTTTCATAACCCCATTCGGGGTTTTCTTGGCAAAGATCCTAGAGTGGTTTTGCCATTTTGTTCTCCAGCTCATTTTACAGATGAGGAAACTGAGGCAAAGAGGATTAAGTGATTTGCCTAGAGTCACATTGCTAGTAAGTGTCTGAGGCCAGACTGGAACTCAGGTCTTTCTTGACTCCAGGCCTTGAGCTTTATCATTGTGCCACCTAACTGCCCCAGAATATCTTTAGCTCTTCAGTAAGCCAATAGTCAGATACTGTTCAAAGCAGGCCTTTTGAAGCTTTGCTCTGAATGGAACATGGAAAGCAGCTCATATGGGGCAGCTGTTCTCTGGGCTACAAGATGATGACTAAAGCAAACTGCCCCCAAAGACCAGATGAAAACAAGACAATGGCCCAAGTTTCTTCTACTTTGTTCTATAGTTTAACTCTATTATTGGGGGATGCAGTGGATACAGTGCCAGCCTGGAGGACTGAACTTTCTGAGTTGGGGTCACGAAGAGCCAGACACAACTGAAATGGATGAACAATGACTGCTACTATTTCTAAATAAAGAAAAGAATATTTTGAAGGACTGTGGAATAAGATTTTTCCAACCACATAATTGAATGAATCTTTTAAAGGGCCCTAATTAGCCTGAAAATGAGCAACTATTTTATGACAGTTATAATAGACAACATTACATAGTGGTTAGAGCTATCTAGCCTCAGGGAGACTTGTTCAAGTCCTGCCTCTGACACGTGCTGACTGTGTAACTCCAGGCAAGTCACAGAAGCTCTCAGTGCTCTGCGTCTCTCTCTACAACTCAAAGTTGCAGAGAAGGTGCTGACCTACACTGGCAGGGGGAATTCTCTCTATTGGTGAACTCACAGGCCCATCCTTAACCCTAACCATTATAAACATGCCTTTAAATAATCTAGAATATTCAAGATACTGCTGTCTTCTCTAAGCAATTTTCTACTCTGTCTATTTGATACAATCCTCCCAACTACTAATGAGATGTGGTTATCACTAATGATAACCTCTTTCCTAATTGTTCAGGGGCTGTCAAAGATTGCAGTACTGTATATGAAATGAGTGTGGACAGAGACAGGAAGTTCTAGCACAATTGTTGCATCTGTGGCAAATTCAAATAGAAATAAAACATTTGAATTTCATATTATTAGTGATATAGTTCCTTTGTATCAAACCGTTAATCAATACAGCCCTAAGAACCTGATAGGGTGATTTGTTGGCAAAACAGGTCCAAGAAATGGACCCTAACAGCGGATGAGTACATACAAAGCAACACAAATACCTTAACTCCTCCTGGCAGCAGCAGATTCGCATATACAAGAAAAGAAAAGTCAGAATTTTCTTGGAAGCACTGCAGTTCCACCACCACAACTTCCTTCTCTCCCTCTGACTTAATCTGGAAAAGGTACAGCATGATATTCTAAATTATGTCACTTTTTATGCTCTTTTTACATATATAAGAGGAGGTTTTCTTTCAGTTTTGAAAAGAATGTTATTTGACGCAGAATTCTACTGTAGATTTCTGTGTAAGGATTTTGCACTCCTAGAATCCTGGAAATACTTTTCAGATACAGATAAGAGGAAATAGAGGAGGGACAGAGTGAGCAGTGGCGCTGGCCCCACCTGTTCTTAAGGATCACTTTTGACTTTATTGGTAGTGAGCTTTGGGGGAAGTCATTGAACCTTTTAGTGCCTCAGACAACTCTCCCAGACTACAGTTACAGAGAAAGTGCCAACAGGCATGGATAGTGGAAGATCTTGCCTAGAAACTCCCTACATTGACGAAATCACAATTCTAGTTTCAAAAAAACAACAACCATGAAATGGGATGGAGGTACCAGTGGGACCTGAGTCTTCCCTAATGCAGCAGGATTCTGATGTCTGTCTTCATTTGAGCAATACTGATTTTGAAAAACAAAACTGTTTTTCTAAATGCAACTGCTGCCAAAATTTAATATAACTTTATGAAATCCATCCTTTAAGCTGAGGATATTGAAGCTTTCAAAATGAGTAGGAAAAATTATTATACAAAATATTTAAAAACCATTAATTTCACATACTGGAAATTTAATTCTTACTTTTTCCAAGATGCTATACTTTGCAACTTCAAAATCTTGAGGAACATGAGGGATATTGTCATCTTCAGTATAAAATCTGAAATTTAAACAATAATTTCTTAAACATTAAAGTGTGTTTTTGAGTAGAATTTTGCATTGCCATAAAGATTTTTATGGTAGAGTCCTGTTCTGGTAGATTTACTAGCTCATAAATACATTGATCCACATCCCGTTTAAGTGGAAAGAAGCTTTAGAAGTCAATCAGACCAACCCCCATCTTTTATAAGTGACATCATGTCTCTGCCTATTGCCCATTTATGCATTATCACAATGGGTGAGACTGCCAAATAATCCATGTTCCTGTTCCACATATATTAAAACATCATGAATATTTGTATTAGACAGAAGTAATAGGACAGAGATAAGTTTTTCCTGAGAGAAGTTTATATGATAAAATGTCATACAGTATAAAGTAGAATGAGAATTTGTGGAATGAGCCTGAGAAATTGGTTTTAGTGAGACAAAGTCCAGTTTATAGTCCTTATTCTAGATTTTATCCTTTCTTCTTTATACTGAGAGGTAGCATGGCCTAATGGATAGAGGGGGGCTTTAAGTGAAAAAATCTGGCTTGGATAAAATCTACCCTTTGACACCACTGGTTTTGTGACCCTGGGCAGGTCACTTACACTTCGCACTGCTCTAGGCAACTCTAAGCCTCTAAGTTATAGAAAAGGTGCTGCCCTGCTTTTGTAGAAGGAGTTTCCTCACCTGGGAAGTTCCTTTACCAGTGAAATCACAGGTCTCATCTCTATCACTTCATGATACTCTACTTCCTTCTCTTATCCACCCTCCTCCTCCTCCTCCTTCTACTAAAATAATTAATTTTGATGCGCAATTTATGTAAAAGATTTAAAGTGTACTTTGAGAAAACATACTTCACATTAATCCTCAAAAAATCCTTTGGCAGGAAGATGCCAGTATTTACTTTAGTGGAACCTAATATAGAGAGAGAATAAATAAATGCCTAGATTGAGGTAATTCAGTGGTGGGAAAGACAGGGGTAAAGTAGGATTAGAATCCAGATCTATTGACTGCTATTTTAGTGCTCTTTCCACCCACCTCACGTAATACTGGGAAATAAAATAAATCATCAATGCTTCAAGTAAAACACATTAACTTAAAACACAGGACTAAATGAACATTTGCATGTAGAGAAAAATCTCTTAAAAAACTGATAACAGGGTTTGGCACAGGCCCAAACCACCTAAAAAGGAGATGCCAGGGATTTGTCTCTATGTGACAGGAGACAGGAGAGTTACACACATGGACACTCTGCACTGGCCCTACCACATGGTTGGGAGCAGCCTCTTTGCATTGGCTGGTAGCCAGAACTGGTTGTTTTTAATACTACCTAACTGGGAGAGTCTCTTTTCAACAGTGTCCAGAGGTAAAGGATTCATTCACTCAGAGCAGGGCCACCACTCAGCAAGCTGAGGAAAGAAAGACCTGAAAGAAAGAACCTTCATCTCTCTTTAAACCCCGTGGCCCCAACAGGCAGAGAAGAGCCCTTTTGGTTTTGTTTTATTTGTCCTTTGCAATTCTAAGTACAGAAACATGGCTCAAGCCATGTTGATCTTGGATTCCAGGTCCAGCAAGGAAGCCCTAAGAAGCCAGGGTCCTAGACACAAGCTAGGGGGTGACTTGAGATTTGGATGGAACCTCTGCTTTAGGTGGCTTGAGCATGTGCCAAATCTCTGTTACAGACTTTAATGGTACAAGTATTCTACCACTGGATAAATGTATGGTTAAGTACATAAGGGTTGCAGAAGAAATGAGAGTTTACTTATTGTGTTCCACAATCTCTTCATTCTTCTCCGTGGTACTATACAAGTCATCCTTGTCCACTCCTGGAATAGAAGATACATATTTACTATTAAAGAAAATTCAACAGTAAATAGCTTGATATGATATCTATAGAAAAATAAATAAGGGACCATAAAATTTGGAGCATCAAGACACATAGTCCCATGCTAGAAGGCCTATAAGAATGTATCTTAATTGAATTTAGAACAGTACACAGGAATAAATATACCTAAATTTTTCTCTGCAGCACCTGAAACACATTTGGTGATTTCTATGAAAATTAATATTCTTCATAACACTTACTGGAACTGCTAGATCTTTCAAAAAGAGGTAGAGTGACTCCTGATGATTCATTGCATTTGTAATTCTCAACACTTAAGAGTTCTCCTTGTTTGATGCAGTCCCATAAAAAATCTATGTTTGCGATGGAGATATGATACTTCTGGACAGTACTCAGCTCACCAGAACTCAGGATGGCATCATTATTCAAGATGACATGTGTGCACTAAAAAAAAAGTAGAGGAGAATCAATCTATTAAGCAGTCACCAGAACTTGACCTGTATTTGTTAAACAATTTTCCCCTTTGAAAGTCATGTTCAAAAGTTACTTTGAAATGAATTTCTCAGATTTAAAAAGCAACCCTTAGAAAATAAAATAATTTCAGGGTACACAAAAGTTACCTAAAAGAAAATACTATCACAACATTTAGTGATCCTACCACTATTTGAAGCTTAACTCACAAGGTAAACTGAGTCTGAATGAGTGAATTAACTTTCTAGCTCTAGAAAGTGAGTAGGGTGGTAGTGAGGGAAGGGCTCACAGCTGTCTCAGATGCAGGTAAATAGGAATAATGTATTTTGTAGAGCTTTAGTGCCTAAAAGAATTTTAGATGTCATATGATCCAAAAGCTAAAGAAGTTACTTGAAGTTTTAGATCTCTTCCATCAATTAATTAATCAACAAGTATTTATTAAGTACCTACTACATTCTAGGCACTGTGCTGGGCATGGGAGAAAATATAAATAATGAACAATCCCTAAGGCACTTAATTGTAAAAGGGAAGATAAAAAAATTTGTTAAGTATATATAGAAATAAATATAAATACAAAGTACTTTGGAAGGGAAGGCACCAGCAGTTATAGGGCATCAGGAAAGGTGTCGTGTAGAAGGTGATCTTTAAACTACTTTTTGAAGGACAAAATGCACTCTGAGGTGAAGGTGAGGTGGGAGTGTATTATGGGCGGGAAGGTAGGGGGAACCAATACAGAGCCAATGAGGCAAGAGATGGACTGTTAAGTGTGTGAAAAAGAGAAAAGGCTAGTTTGGTAACATCATAGAATAAAGGAAGGTAACAGCCAATGAAGGTGGAGAAGTTGTTGAGCCTAGCTTGTGAAGGGCTTTAAAGTTAAATAGAGGAATTTGTGCTTGATAGTAAAGACAATAGGAAGTCACTGGAGCTAAGTGACACGGTCGGAACTGAATCTAAGTAAAATTATATTGGCAGTAGAAGTTAGAATGGGTTGGAGTGGGGAGAAACTTGAGGCAGGTGGGGAGACCAATTAGGAGGTGATGAGGGCTTCAACTAACCTAAAGTATGAATGTCTGAGCAGAGAGAGGGGTCTGATGCTAGAGATGTTGTGGACATAGAAATGACAAGATGTGCTGAGTGCATGTGTGGGAAAGCCAGGTGAGGAGAAGCAGACCTTGGACATGGGGAGGATAGTGTTGGCTTTGACAGAAATAGCGAAATTTGAAAGAGGGAAGCATTTGAGGAAAAGAAAGTGAGTTCAGTTTTGAACATGTTGAAGTTAAGATGTCTCTGGAACATCCAGTATGAATTGTTCAATTAAGCATTTTATGATTTGGGACTGCAATTTAGGGGAGACACTGAGGCTGGACATACAGATCTGTGAATCACTTGTCTGGTGATTATAATTAAACCCATGGGAGCTGATGAGGTTACTGTGAATGAGTATATAGAGAGAAGAGGAGCTACAATAGAACTTTAGGGGACACTCCACAATTAGGGAGCATAATATGGACAATAAACTAGCCAGCAAAGGATTACAGAGTAATAGTAATAATAATGATAATAACAGTTAACATTTATATAGTGCTAACTATGTGCCAGGCACTGTGCTATGTGTTTTATAATTATCTTATTTGATCTCACAACAATCGTGGAAGGTAGGTACTATTATTATCCTTATTTTACAGATGAATAACTGAGGCAAATAGAGGTTAAGTGACTTGCCCAGGGTCAAACAGCTAGTAAATGTCTGGGGTCACATTTGAACTTAGATCTTCCTGAATCTAGTCCAAGTACTCTATCCACTGTGCCACCTAGCTGCCTAAGAGTAGTCATCCTCTTAAACACCACTGGTAATGAGGAACTATTTCTTAAGGCTATTATTAACAATTATTATATTATTAAGGCTGTCCATTTTTGGACAGCTCTCAATTGCTAGGTAGCTTCTCTTTATATTGAGCTGAAACCTGCCACCCTGTAACAATACCATTTCTGATTACATTAATATTCCTCTTAATATATAAACAGAAATTTTCATATCACATGAAATATTACATTCATATTTTTCTCAAGCCTCATTCTCTTATAAAATTACTCAGTTCTATTGAGGGAGCTGACGAGTTCTTCCTTGTTCTCCTGATTCCTAACCCTGAAGTCATTCTTGACTATTTCTTCCCCCTTGCACTTCACCCCTCCTCCCTTCCCCCCAAGACTCTTGGATCCCTCCCTTTCTCTTCATTCACAAAGTCTCTACTTTAGCATAGGCCCTCACCACCTCTACCATAAGATCCAGAAAGGCTTTGCATAGGAAATGAAACCTAAACTGAAGCTTGAAGAAAGCTATGTAGTCTAATGAGCAGAAATGAGGAATAAGTGCATTCAGACTATCCTTTGACAGCAGAAACTGGGAAGTTTGGAGGAGGGAAAGATTTTTTGGGAAAAGATAAGTATAATTATCATTAAATATAATATATTAAGTATAGATATTATGGCATTCATATTAATGTTTAATAAATTTGATATACTAACATTTCATTTTTATATACTAAATTGCATATATAATAAAAGATGATATGAGAACAGGATGATATATTTCATTTCAATATAAAGAAGAGTCTCTCAACAAGAGCTGTCTAAAAGTAGAACTGGTTGGCTTGGAAAATAGTGAGTTCCTTATCACTACAGGTCTTTAAGCACCTGGATAGTCACTTTTTTTTTTTGGCTAATACTTCTTTATTGTGTTCAATACACAGAAGAATAGCCCTCCCCTCAAGGAAAAAGAAAATTGGCAACAGAAATTACATGACGTTTATCTTTTAAAGAACCTGTATTTAACGATCAATAAGGATTATGCAAGGAAATAAATAATGAAACACAACACTGAAAGCTGAAAAAAATTCACAGCTACCAAATACCTAGTAAGACATGACCTGGTGGTTACAATTACACATCAGAAGCTCACTGTCCTTCACAACCCAACAAATGAGAAATCCATAATATTACAATACAGACTTCAAAATATCTTCAAAAATTCAGCAAATAAACTACTGAAACAGGACAATGATCACAGACCAATTGTTGCTCAATCATCTAGATAGCATTCCATTGATTAAAAAATTAGCATTGTTTTTCATATCAAATATTTTTAATATTAAAGCTATATTGAATATTTTCAAAACATAAAGACCTAGCAGGAAAAAACAAACACAATACCATCCCCATAATCCTGTCTGTTCTTGAGGTGATTGTACCTTCAGAAGATAAGCTTACATTTCAACATTTTAATTAAATTACAACTTTCCTTTCAATTGCCAAAAGTAGTAATCTTGTCTGTTTTGCAATAGACTAAAAAAGAATAACAGGAGGATAGTAACTTGTCCCAGGACTGTTTTCATCTGAATTACTTTTAAAAGAGAGGAGGGAGGGAGGGAGAAAGAGGGAGAGAAAGAGAGAAGAAAAGAAGAAGAGAGAGAGAGAATGAATGAATGAATAACAGTAACAACAGTAGCTGGCATTTATACAGTACTTTAAGGTTTGCAAGCATTTTACATCCATTATCTCCTTTAAATTTCACAAGAGCTAGATAGAGATGAGAAACTCAGTAAGGTTCAGAGATATTAAGTAGGTTCCATGCCCAACGTCACACCGATAATAAATATCAGAAGTGGGTTTGAACCTAGTGCTGCCTGAATCCACATCTAAAAAATCTTACCTTTTATACCATCCTGCCTCGTTTCCTAGTTTTCCAAATGGAATGGCTGAATAGGTAGATAAAATGCATTGAACATTTCACTTAATTGAATCACCACATATGCTACCCATGTTTTGTTTATTTTTAAAGATAAAAGTAAAACAAAGTATATTTAAGTCTCATTTGATATCAGATAAGATCATATTTGTAAAGTCCTTAGTCCTAAGTGCTTGGCACTTAGTAGGCACTTTAAAAATGCTTTAAAAAAAAGTCTACAACTATCCCTAGTTGCATAATGAGGCTGTCAAACTTCTATTAAAGTACCACCTGGATAGCCATTTATGATGGACGTTAGACTTGGCAAATGTCTGAATATGGGAAGTCATAGTAAAAGGAAGAGTCAAGGATGACTTTGAGATTTTGAACCTGGGTGACTAGAAAGATGCTAGTGTCCTCAACAAAAACAGGGAATGTTAGAGGGAGAGATTTAGTGGGAAAGATCGTTGTGTTTTGGAAATGATGAGTTTGGTATATCTAGGTAAAAAGATCCATGAGGCAGTTAGTGACATAGGACTAGATATCAGGAGAAACATTAGGTCTGCATTTAAAAATTTGGGAGTTATCCTTGTAGAGATAAAAACATTTCTGTTTTGGGGAGGCTACTTTCTAATACATTTGGCCCACAAGACATCTCAACAGAATGATCTGCTGTCAACTCTGATTGAACATAATGAAGATGACTCCAAAGTCTTCTTTCCTTAACTTTACCACAGGGAAATACCAAATTTTATCTGATAAATTAAGAGAGGAAGCTCCAGAATGTATCTTTGACCCTTATTCTCCATATTCAATCTCTTGATGAATCATGCTACTGTTTTCTATACATTCGAAATGAAACCTTTTCTACTACCCCCTATTGCCATGGCTTTTGCCTTCGTCCTGGTCAAATGACCAAATGAGGTAATGTACATAAAATACTTTGCAAACCTTAAAGTTTCATATGCATGAATCATTATATTCATGGCTCCCTCATATGATGAATGAGAACTTCCACCTGTGGAAGTGTCTAAGTCAGCCATGCTCTAACTTGGCTCTACTCCTGATGTCTTGATTTTACCTCCTTCCTCATCCCCACTTCCTATATTCAGTTCCCTTTTCTGTGCTATCTTTTGTAGTTAGACTGCAAGTTCACTGGGGGCTAGGGATTATCTTTCCGTTTTGTATTCCCAGTGCTTAGCACAGTGCCTGGCACACAGCAGGTGTTTAATAAATGTTTATTAACTGACTGACCGTTAGAGGCCCTCGATATCTTTTTTCCCCTAAATTATTCCAGCTTTCTTCTTGATTTATTGCTTTACTTTGTGCTATTCCTCTCCAGAATAGAATTTAATTTTTTAGTTCACCTCCCTAACCAAATGATATGATTTCTTAATTCCTATGGTGGCTTTTCAATGTGTTAAGGATCTTAAGATTGTCTAAAGTTTAATTAATACCTTACGGGTTAGTACAGAGGAAACATTTCCATTGTTTTTCTTAATATTAGCTCTTAGGAATTTCTTCTGCATGTACTGTAAGCTGTCGTCTTTCAAATAGAATCTGTAATTTGTAAATATTCCCATGGTTATCCTGTTAAAAAAAAATGCAGACAAGTGAATGAGCAGAACTGGAAGAACACTGTACATCGTAACAGCAATATTGTAACAATGATCAACTGTGAAAGACTTAACCTATTCTGATCAATTCAATGATCCAAGACAATTCCAAAGAACCCACGATGAAAAATGCTATCCATCTCCAGAGAGAGATGAATTCTGAGTATAGACTAAAGCATATGTTTTTCACTTTCTTTTTCTTTCTTTTATGTATTTATTTATTTATATGTTTTGCAAGGTGGCTGGTATAGAAATGTTTTGCGTGACTTCACATGTATGATGGGTATCCTTATTGCTTGCCTTCTCAAATGGGGGAGGGGCTGGAGGGAAGGAGAGAATTTGGACTTAATTTAAAACTGAACATTTAAAATAACTCAATAAATTTATAAAAATAAATAATGCCAATGTATTTCATATGCTAATATACATAATTATTTCATTTTAATTTCTAAAAAAACAGAGGTAAGTACTAGTCTACCAACACTTAAGAACGTTTTTGTAAAGTGAATGATGCTTTGCCTTAGGAACTGAAAATGGGTTTGTTAAGAGATAATCTCTTTATAAATTTACTATGTTCAATTTTTCTGCTTTGGATGAATATAATTATTACTAAATTTGGGTGGAGCTGTATGTGCAAAACATATCTCACATCCATTTTATCACCACAAAAATAGCTATTTTACAATTATAAGCTAAAATGTATTGGTTGTGGTATGATGGGACAATAAAGGTCATTTAGTTTAACCTGTTCATTTTATAGGTGAGAAAACCCATGTTGAATATACTATTGAAGCCAAAATAATACACGAGTCTCTAATAAGATCATAATGAGGATATGTAACAAATTTCAGCTGAAGGTCAGTGACATGATCCACAATTGTTTATACATTTTTATTTTTAAACAATAAAAAATCAAAATTATGTGGAAATGTAGGAGTCTTACAGGGAAGAAATCTGGGTCTTTCCATCATACTATATAAATTCAGATAGTCTTTTGTCTCCTTTCAGTTAAGAAGAACTTTAAAAAAAAGTGATCTTAGTGAAATTATTTTTAGTGGCACTGAATGAGTCACCAAAATTCAGACAATAAAGGAGTTATTTGATGAGAAATGATGAAGAGGCTTGTGAAAATTTAAACTTACTTTAATGCATCACAGAGTCCTTTATATATGAGCTCCTTCTGAGCAAATTAGAAAATTTTAATGACAATTAAAAATATGTATGTATTTAACAATAAATCAGAGGGTATTGATCTAATTCAAGTTTAATCTCTCCCAGTTAGTGGCTTTCCCAGTTTTCAAAGTATGAGCCATAAGATCAAAATAATGCTAAGATCTTTTTAATTTCTAAATAATAAGTATCAATAAAATGATCTTCATAAGCAAGAGTTTTTAGGGTTCTTATTAATTTTTAATAGATTAAAGGAGTCCTGAGACCAAAAATTTGAGAACTGTTGGCTTATATTATCTCCTTCCTGTTATAGTTATAATTTGGTTAGTCAAAGATCACTTAGCACAGATCGTCAATTTCAACTGTCTTATAACCTTATAGCATTACTAATTACTCTTTTATATTTACATGTTTTTAAGTGCTGGCTGGGAGGTGCTATAAAATATGTTTATGATTAGAATTAAAAAATAAATACCAGGGTGAAGTTATACAGGCAATAAATATTGGCACTCAGTTGGCTTTTGGCATTTCTAATCTTATGCCCATAGGACTATTTTCATTTGCAAAATGATAGTTTGTAAAAATTTTAAATTAATCTAAAAGCATTTATTCTAAGCCAGTCAAGTTCTAGGGTTACAAAGTAAGGTAAACACAATTTCTGCCTTCAGAGAGCTTTCGTTTTATGAAGGAGATAACATGTAAATATCTAGGAATTTGGAAGACAAATACAGAGCAGATGGGAGGAAAACTCAGCAGGAAGGTTTTGGTGGGGAGGATATGGGGTGAGACTAGAAAAGAGTTCCTACAGAAGGTTGGATTTGAGCTGATAATTGCTTGAAGCTAGGAGGTAAAGTTGAGAAGAGATAGAGCAATACAGACATGGGAGACAGGCAGTGAAAAGCACACTGAGACATGGAAGTTATTGTGTGAGGATGAGCAAGTAGGCAAAAGCAGCTGGCTCACAGAATGACACTAAGGTATTCTTGGTGAGGTGTGAAGAGACTCAACCACTCTGGAGAACAATTTGTATCTATGCCCAAAGGGCTATAAAACTGAATATATCCTTTGAACTAGGAATACCACTACTAGGTCTGTATCCCAGAAAGATCAAAGAAAAAGGAAAAGGACCTATTTATATTTATAGTAGCTCTTTTTGTAGTGGCAAAGAACCAGAAATTGAGAGAATGTACATAATTTGGAGAATGACTAAATAAGTTGTGGTATATAATTATGATGGAACACTATTGGGCTATAAGAAATGATGAGCAGGATAGTTTCAGAAGTCAAGTGAGCTGAATCAGGAGAACATTGTACATAGTAACAACATTGCAACATGATCAACTGTGAAAGACTTAGCAACTTTGATCAATACAACCAGCTAACACAATTTCAAATGACTGTCTATCTCTGGAGAGAGAGAACTGATGAACTTTGAGTGCAAAATGAAGTATAATTTTTTCACTTTATTTTCTTGGTTTTTTTCCCCCTAAACTGGCAATATGGAAATATGTTTTGCATGATCTCACATATATAATTGATATTACATTGCTAATCATTTCAATTAGTGGGGGAGGGGCTGGAGAAAGGGAGATAATTCAGAACTCAAATTTTTTTAAAAAACAAATGTTAAAAATAAATGATATATTTTTTAAAAAGGCTATTGCAATAGTCCAGGCAAGAGTTGATAAGGGCATACAGTAGGGTGGTAGCTATGTGGAGAAAAGGGGATATATCTGAAAAATTTTATAAAGGTAACAAGATTTGGCATCAGATTGGATATGTATAGTCAGTGAGAGTAAGGAGTCAAAAATCACACTAAGGTTGTGAGTGTGGGTAAATGAGAAGACGGCAGTGCCTCAACAATAACAGGAAAGTTGAAATTTAGAAGAGGATTTTGGGGAAAAGATAATGAGTTCTGCTTAGATCGTGTTAATTTGAGAAGCCTTTGAGACATCTGGTTTAAAAAGTCCAAAAGGCAGTTAATAACGCAGTACTGTTGGGTCAGGAGAGCGAGTTGGGGCCAATCCAAGAATCACCTGCATAGAGATGATAATTTAACCTAAGAAAGCTGATTAAATCACCATGATAGACAATAAAGAGGGAAAAGAGAAGAAAGCCTACCGAAGAGTCTTGAGGGAGAGGAGGGGGGAAACATCCATGGTCAGAAGGTTTGAAATAGACTGAGAAATAAATTCTGGAGAAGGAGTGGTCAGACCAGGAGAGAGCTGTGTTACAATAATCTAGAGGAAAGAGTATCTAAGAGAAAAAGATGAAGTTAAGAAGAATGAAGATTGAAAAAAGGACAATGGTTTTAACAATATGATCAATAACTTTGGAAAGGTTAATTTCAGTTGAATGGTGAGGTCAAAAGCCAGATCACAGAGTGTTTAGAAGAATGAGAAGAAAGGAAGTAGAGGCATCCAGTGAATATAGATTTCTCAAGGAGTTTTGCCAAGAAGGAGAGGAAAATTACAGAATGCTTCCTTGTAGGAATAGCACCATCAAGTGAGGGACTTTTTAAAAAAAACTGAGTGGTGATTTAGCCATGTTTGGTACTCCAAGAAACCCCCTAGGTCTTATCTAATCTGTCCATTAATAAAACTGTAGCTAAAATTATTGGGGCCAAACTTTATTAGTCAATTTCTAATATAGTCTACTTTTGGAGTAGAATTATTCAGGGCATCAGGATAAGGCTTAAATAACTGTCTCTAGAATTCGTGGTGGTGATGGTGGTAGTGGTCATAGAAGAAGTGGATTAATTTAAATATTCCTTAATTTTGATTTCTGGTGAATTCTAGAATGAATTATTAAAGATACGGTTAAGGAACATCTATGAAGTAGTGGTACTATTGCTAATATGACTGCCGGTATGGGAGGCAGGTCTACCAGCGCCTATAACCCATTCTAACAAAACACTCAAGTTCACCAACACTGAATAATGATCAAGAAATCTATGAGAAACTGTAATAAATGTTTTATTCCACCCTAGAACTGGACAAAAAGACAGGCAGAGGCCTAAGAGGAAAAAAATTCCTCCAACAAAGTCAGTGTTAGTGAAGTGGAGCCTCTCAAGGTTGACCAGAGATGTAAGAGATGGCACTTATAAGGTCCTGTATCTTGAGGCAGCAGGAGCTGAAGGCTCCCCTAAGAAAGTCCAGGAATGGTCTGTAAAACTCTGGGTAGGGGTCTTGAGGTCTTGAGTTGTTGTAGTGGGTAGCTACCAGTGACCAGCATGATGTTGCAGCACTCAGATCAAGACAGCCCAAGCCCAGAGTCTAGGTGGCAGCTAATGCCTAAGATCAGGGGTGGGGAACCTGTGGCCTCCAGGCCACACATGGCCTTCTAGGTCATTGGGTGTGGCCTTTTAACTGGGTCCAGGTTTTGCAGAAAAATTCTTCTACTGAGGGCATTCATTCTGTGAAGTTTGGATTCAGTCAAAGGGCTGCACTTGAGGACCTAGAGGCCACATGTGGCCTTGAGGTTGCAGGTTCCCCACCCCTACCTAAGATGCTAGAAAGAGACTTGAAGATCCAGCACCCTCAACCCCAAAGATCCAGGGAGGCCTAACCCTGGGAGGTGGAAGTCAATATAAAAAGCCTGGGGACTTAGGATGAGACCACACAGGGTTGACAATTTCATCCAAAAGAATATAAGGAGAGGAACCTGACCTTGGCACAAAGCCCCAATTCAATTACTAAAGCTGGAGAGATGGACAAATCAAAGAATACACTTACAAGTAGCAAGAATTATTGCAAGGCTAAAGATCTCTAATCAGGAGCCACTGATTCTGTAATAACTACAATT